TCCCCAAAATGCGAGGTCACGTATGCCACCGGCACAAATGTAGTATAGTGGAACAACGCAAACAGCGCAAACAGCGGGATAATGGCGGTAAGCTCATGGAGGATTAGAAATGACACAACGTGAGATACCGGTGCATTTCGGAGCCCATTGGTGTATTTTTGTAGGCGCTGGGGTAGTCGTGCTGTGACTCGGTCGATGCGTGATGCCTGCGAGGATTCGTGGCGGACGCCCGGCGTGAAGTAGGGTATGGAGCGGCGAGCTCGAATCTGGCGAAGCCAATTAGGGGCATTGGCGCGACGGAACATAATTTTCTTCTAGGAGATTGCTTCCCAAGGCATTCGAGCTGGCGATGTCTCCGAAAAGCTCACGGGTTGAGGAGGTTATCAGCTTAAGTGCGAAGTACGATTCGGTGGATCATAGTTCCGAGTGGACAAGACGACGAGTGATGAACTTCTGGTCTAGGGTAGGCGGAGCAGTTGCATGTCTGGCCACGAATGTTCAAAAGCCTGCTCGAGGCATTTAAAAATGATGTTGAGCGGTATTGGTCTATTTGATTCTATGGAATTGGTTCAAATATAGTTTGGCAATGGACCGCGGAATAGTGCATTAGTCGTACACCAGAGACCCTGCGATTTCTTTTTTGTCATACCGCGAGATTGGTTACGAACCAGCTGTATACAGCATCATTGAACTGGATCGAAATTTTGATTGAAGAAAATAGAGCCTTTCAAGTCTCCAAGTCCTGTTACGATCCAAACTTTCCTGCTGAACACAAACTTGCGATTTTCGGGCAAATAATTTACCCCGAAACCGGATCACACTTTCCAGTGCCACCTGTACCAGCTGGCAGCTCCTTCCGTGTAAGTGACAGTAGACGTCTGGGAAGGAAACAGCAGGCAGCCGGCCTCGAATTTCCTCTTAATCTCTCCTCTTAATCTCTCCTCTTTTCCCTTTCTCTCAACTCATCTCTCTACTCATTCCCATCTACAGAGTTGTCCACGTCGTTGCAAACCTCTGCCAAAATACCATTCTCCTTGACACCATGCCTGCTACCAAGCTTACCAAGGGCCTCGTTGCCCTTCTCGGTCTGACCTCTATGGTCTCCAGTGAGAATTCCTCCAAGGGCGACCTCATTCTCTGTGATTGCGGCATTGGGGACGACAAAGAACACCCCGACTGGTCCACCTCTCGCCAGATGAACTGGTACAAGGACATCAAATGGCCAGCCTCTGCTGCCAACTATCCCAATGCCCCAGACATGGCCGTTCAAGTACCATACAAGGACGGAATCTACCCTTGGATTCCCCAGGGAGTCACTGCTACCATGCCAAATGGCGAGGTATGGACCGCCTACATCGAAGATGGCACTCCTGATGGCTTCAAGGCTGGCAGTGCTGTTTCCAGCAAGGATGGCAAGAACATGCTCAACTGCTGGGCCTATCGGGGACGCCCTGTAAGTGCAGCCATCAACAAGACTGTCAATCATGATGCCATTTGCTGGACTGCCTTTGTTTGTAATCATGACAACGAACCTCCATCTCGGCCTGACGATATGGATCACCCATCTACCATGACTTCCTCTACTGCCACTCCCGCTACCACCTATTTTACCAAGCCCCCCAAGACCGTTACTGCCACCGTCACTACTACGTCAGGCCAGCCGGCGCCCACCTACAACCCCAACAAGGGTACTCTGAGCATTTATGCGGGCGTCAACCCTCGATTCATCAACTGGCAGGATACTTGGCAGTCATTCATCAACCATTTCGTCTGGGACAAGAACTCTGGCCGTTGCATAGGCGAACCAGCCCGTGGTATTGGCTACAACATCACTATTGACTGCGCCGGAATTCAGATTGACGAAGACACTCACATGACTCTTCTCCTGATCAAGGCTCTGCGCGATGTTGGGCTCAACAGCTTGTGGTTCAACCAGAACCCCGTCATTCCGGGAGGAAATGGCCCCAATAACACTTCTCCAAACTGGGTTGTGATGCCTGAATCGTTCACTTTGGAGGCAACTGATCTGGGCACCAACAATGTAGTTGGCCGCCTCGCCTACAAGACTCATTACGATAATTTCCTCACTCCCCCATGTTCTATCTGTGAGATTGGACGCTTTGACAAGAATTTTTTTAATCCAATCATTGAATCCATGAAGGGCAGTTATCCGCAATTCAACAACTTCACCGTCAAGGGGCAATGCGACCCTTGGATTGCCTGTGTTTGAAAGGATGTTTGATGGGGTGTGACTGATTAAACGCGCATGGACAGATATATGGCACTTGCTTTCAGATTGATATTGATATGTTGAGATGGGTTGGCATGGTGGACTCATGATTATGTTGCTGGCTTTACACTAGACATCTGCCTATTTTTGGAACGAATAGACTCAATTCTACCTATGTGTCTAGTGATACTGCTTCTGCTGTGAAAAAATGTCTATGGTGTTTTGAATCTAGCTATTACTCCCTCGTCATGTCTCTATTCGTGGTCTGTGCCATCGGAGTAGTAGTCAAAACTCTTGGGCACCTCCAAAGGACGATTGTTGACAGGATCCGGGTCCACCTCGCCGTCGACACTGGGCTGGATATCTGTGCCGGCTGGCGTTGGAACAGGGCCCAGAGAGTGTGCTCTTAGCAACGACGACATGTTGCCTGCCCATTCCCAAGGCCGGCTCGCGTCACCAGGGAGGCTGTTGAAGTACTCCCAGCCCATGACTCCCCCAAAGTTCCGGTGGCGCCTGTGCAAAATGGCCAAGATGGCGGAGAGCATCTCCCACGGCACAAAGCCAGAGCCGTTGGCCGGGTTCGTGACGACGCCCACGACCAACTTTTCGGGGCTCCAGCCCTTTTGGAGCATCAGGTCGTACATGAGGGTGTTTGTCAGGTTGCCCCACCCGCAGTAAAACTGCGTATTGTACCAGGCAATCTCCTTGCCCCTCATGACCTCGAGCGCCTCGTAGTCGAAGCCGCTCAGGTTCTTTTCGGGATCTAGCAGCGCCATGGCGACGGGGGCGAGGGTGATGACGAAGCCGGGCCCAAAGTCGGCCCTGAGCCGGTCGACCAGTCTGACGATGCCGGCTAGGCTCATGGGCTCCTCGACGTCCAGGTCGACGCCGTCTAGGTTTTTGTCGCGGATGAGTTGTCGCAGTGGCGCGTAGTAGGACTCGAACTGGTCTGATTCTGAGTCTAGGCGCTGGTATGTGCCTGGGGCGGCGCCGCCGAGCATGAGGAGTACTTTGACGCCGGAGGCTTGGAGGATGCGGAGCTCGGCCCAGAGGGTTTGGAAGCGCGGGTGCGACGGGGGGTGGTCGTTGAGGGTGAGCTGGGAGGGGGACGCGTTGATGTGGCATGCTGCGAGGATGAGGTGCGTCAGGGATATGGAGGGCTGCGTGAGGAGCGGGAGCACGGAGATGTGTTCGCCTGAGGGCGCGTGGTGGGTTTGGTAGTAGGTTATGATGCGGGGGAGAGGGTGTTTGTGCGGCGGTATGGGTGGCATTGTGAGTATTGAGGCTGTTGGTGATGTTGGGTTTTGGAGTTTTGGTCGCAAGCCGACGGGTTTGTTTGGGTTGTGGGATTGAGGGCGGAGGGGCGCCGAGTTGGTTTTTTTTTTTTTGGCTTGATGGATTAGTTGCGCACAGAAGTATTTGGAATGCTGTCATGTATGCCCTGCCGGCGCAGAGAAGAGATGTTGGACGGAGAGTGAGCTTGGATATGAAGTGGCCGGCCTTGAGGTTTCGAATCAATGCTGAGGCAGGTGTTCTGAGACACTGTGCGATGGGGCGACACCTGGACACTGTACATTGGCTCTTATGAGTGGTGTGGGCACAGTGCAGGGACCGAATCTAGGACTGGCTCCCGCAGTGTCAACGTTGGCCATTACAGAGGTCCACCATTCCGATACTTGATACACAGTCTGCTGTGTATGAATCAAGGGGAAATGAGGGACAAGATGTTATTTATAAGGAACTGCCGTGGATCAGAGGCTGTCTAGCAACTTCACCTGGCACAAGGCGCAAGCATATTTTTAAATGATGGACGAGAGAGGTGGCGTGTCGTGTAAGTCAAGACATTAGCTAGGTGAGCTATCGTAAAACAGGCTAGGGACATTAGCTGTTGGATATATAACGAGATAATGTCAGGTTATGATTACAAAGGAGAAGAGCTTATATATCTCTCTCCTTAATCGGAAATGTGCTGCTGTTCGTATGGGTACTATGCCTGCGCCATCTCCGGCTCCCACGGAGGACGTCCGGTTCCAAGAGTCGCCTGTGAACCTCCCTTTTAACCTCGAATCAAGCCAGCGAGCCCTCTCACCAACGAACTGGCCGCCTACTGGAGATGCTACGCGATCGCGAGATCAGCGCGAGCGCCTCGTCCGATAATGCAAGTCCTGGAGACCACAGTTCCTCCCAAATGGGGATGCCGTCGCGTGGATTACGACAAGGGCCGGAGTTCGGCTACAGCCACTGGCAAAACGGAACTCGGTCCGATTCCTCGAAAAATAAGTCTGAATCACTCCTCAAACCCCGAGTGTTCCCTGGGACACACACAACACCAAAGGGAAGAAAAGGGGGATGGCCCCTACCAATACAACATGCGATCCTTCAACATCGCAAGATAGTGCCTTTAGGAAAGACTCTGCGGGGTTTCTGGTAGATCTGCCTTTGGTCAAATGAATATCGCCCTAGCTAGGAAGAAGGGCCAGACTTGGGGCATTCAGAAGGGAAGAAGATGCAAGTTGTAAGAGGACACTGGATTGATTGATTCCGCTATGATCTCTGCGACGCAGTCTGTTTTATCCGCCCAAGCCCATTTGACCACATGATCTTCCTGTCTTCAGCCATCGATTTTTCACCGACATAATGTAGTTGTCAAGAAGCCTCGTCGTTGCCGAGTAAATCTCTTTCCATTGCGAGCCATGGCCGAAGAGCCGCATGTCTGCTGTTGCTTTGACTGTTGGGAGTTTGGCGAAGTCGAGACTTGAAGTTGATCCGTCTATCGTAGCGTATGGATAGCAGGTAGAGTCGTCGAAAAGGAATCTAGAACATCCGCATCAAAGTCGGAGCCATAATAGAAGAGGACGCCACCGTTGTGCTTGAAACTCGCATCAGCTTTCTCGAAGAACCAGACGAGATTCTCATCCTCTTCTGAAACCCTCCAACATAAGGAGGGGTTGTCCGTTTTTATGGCTGACCACATATTCTCAGCCAAATTACTCAGCCATCCAAACTTGGTAATGGTGAGGGAAGCGATAGTAGCCATGGGCTTATCTGCCGAAGGCGGAAGAATAATAGCTAAACCTGACATATTCTCGTCGTAATAAGCAGTAAACGGGTTCACCTTCAGAAACTCCAGAAAGCGATCGACTACAGCCGAAGCATCTGTAGCCTCAGTATCAAGGTTATTCTGGCTTTCAAGAAGAGCTTTCTTAATCTTGTCAAGATCCTGAAATTCAGACAAGGAGGATGCCTTTTGAATAGCATCCCCTCGTCGGATTAAGGTACCAGCACCAGAGTCGGTGAAAAGCTCCTTATGAAGATCGCTTGGGTGAATAATAGCGACACTAGAGCTTCGTGGTTAAACGGGTCCCATATTTACACCATGGCTGAGACATGAGGTAGTCATACTCCGCATCAAGGTTAATCTGAGATATTTTATTGCCAGCTCCATCAAATAGGCCTTTTTTTTCTGACAAATAAATGATTTTGAGAGGGTGGAGCGAGCGAGCAATTTCCATTGCGGCGATATCTGCATTTACATTAAGGAGCGTGCCATCCTCAGACTCTGCCATAGATGTCATGACAGGTATATAGCCAGCTTTGAGACTATTTTCTATAGATACGTTAGTAAAAAGGAATAGAATAGAGGGCAGAAGAGCAGAAAATAGCGCAACTCAACCGATTGCAGCAGTATTTACTGTTTTTATTTTGCCAACGTAGCCCCATTTCTCCTTATCGAGAAAGTCTGCCACAAAGACGCCACTGAGGGATCTCGTTCTGACGCCAAGCTGGTCAAGCTTATCGGTAAGCTTGAGGTTCTCCTCGAGGAATAGCTTGCGGGCAATGTTGAGAGTCTTCGTATCGGTAATACGTATGCCCTCCGAAAAAGAAGGCGTCACGTTGGCCTCCTCGAGCAAGCGGTTCAACTGTGGACCTGCCCCATGTACAATTACGGGTAGGAGCCCCAGCTCGAAAAGAAAAGCAAGCTGTGATCCTAACTGGTCAAGGTGCTCGGATCTAGAGCCCAAACATCGTGTGATCATTAGCGTATGAATGGTACAGAAAGACTTTCTGGGAATGGGAATGGCTCATACAGAATAGCACCACCTACTTTCAGCACACAAAAGGTCTGGGCAGAAGTGAAAAGCTGAAGATATTGCTGGGCCTCTCTTTTCTGGCAAATTTATGTTAGTGATTGGTGTTGGCGCAGTCATGGGATTCGGCGATGCCATTCACCCATTTCGAGGAGACTTGAGGAAAAAGGCAAGCTTCTGGAGAGACTTACAGATCCAATAGACTGTAGCATCTGGCTCACAATTTCCCTGGTAGCATTCCTGGTTGTGGATGAGTATCGAAGCGTCGTGGTATTTGGCAATTGATTGGTGAAGTTGCCTTTGATAAGAGGCCGGGAGGTCTTGGGCACGGTATTTGAGAATCGCTTGGCCACGGCTCGTAGTGCCAGCCCGCAGCACAGATTAAAAGACATGATTCCAGGGACTGCTTCAACCCAATTAACTCGTTGCTTGTCGGAAGAGGTTGATGAAATTCAATAGCAGAAAAGAATGTAGAGGCTCACGCCGAGGTCGAGATCAATAGCTGTCGAGTCACCAGCCAAGCACGTAGTGCAGCACGTGTCGCAGCTCCAGCAGCTAAGTGCACATGGTGTAGTGGGACTGGCAAGGAGAGGCGCGGGGGTTGTGGGGGAAGTGGCTCCACCTCGAGCGAACCAAACTTTTGTGGCGGATCAGGTACGAAACGATAATGGCACCGTTTATAAACAGAAGTAGATCAACCATTGCCATGACCGTTTTTTCCATTCCCGTGATATTTTTGATGAGAGCTAGCACGGTTGCTTCTACATGGGTTGACAAATTCGATATTATAGTTGCAATATGAGCTGTAAATACTATCTGCTTCCTACTTCTTTGGTTCCCGGACATTTGTTCTACCGAACCGGGCTATTAGTGACCTTGCACCGTAGAAATATCCATTCCTGCACTACAAGTCCAGAAATCGTAGAATTATGGAGCTGAGTACCCAAGAGCCTACTCATCCGCCGCATCCTGCGGTCAATGAAGCGAAGAGGCCTCAGGTACAGCCCTGGGTACACCTGCTCGCCGGCGCGTAAAGTCTTTCAGAGCTCCGAGTTGATGACAGCAGACTGACATATTCTCAGGACTGGTGGCATGGTGACGGCCATCATCACTTCACCTCTTGACGTATTAAGAACTCGACTTCAGTCAGACCTATATGCCTCTCCAGCGCACGACTCAAAATACGGGCTTTCTTCGTTCAAAAGCCCCTTTCGTCATGTTTATGACACATTCCGTACTATTGGCACAATAAGGGGACGCGAAGGGTGGCATGGCTTGTTCCGCGGTCTTGGACCTAGCCTAGCTGGCGTTGTCCCTGCAACCGCCGTGAAGTTTTACGTCTACGGCAATTGCAAACAGCTCAGCGTTCAGTACCTAGGTCTTAGGCCTGACGAGCCCATTGTGCATGCTTTGGGAGCTGTCGCCGCAGGCCTAGCAACTGCAACGGTAACGAATCCGATTTGGCTCGTCAAGACCAGGCTGCAACTCGACATGGCTCAATCACATCGCGGTGATTTAATGCGTCAATATAGTGGTAGCTTGGATTGCATACGGCAAGTCGTACGGTCCGAGGGCATACGGGGGCTCTACCGAGGGCTGACTGCCAGCTACTTGGGTACGGCTGAAACGGTTCTTCATCTTGTGTTATATGAGCGACTCAAAGCGGTCTTTCATACATCGCTGGCCAAATTCACAACCACAGATACCCCGGCCCTCGGTGAAGTCACCAACTGGACCAGTACAAGCGGCGCCGCCGGTTGTGCTAAAATAGCGGCTGTTTTAATAACGTATCCTCACGAAGTATTACAGCTCCTACCCGCCACCTGATGCAAGCTAATTTTTGATAGGTTGTCAGAACGCGATTGCGCCAAGCACCGGCGGACAAGGGCCAGCAAGGATATTCTGGGCTCCTGCGGTGTTTTCGAATTATATGGCACGTGGAGGGCCGGCGAGGATTATATGGCGGGTTGACGCCACATCTAGTACGCTCTGTTCCGTCGGCAGTGATCACACTCGGAGTGTACGAGTTTGTCTTGAGACTGGCCAAGACACCTGCAACCGAGCCTTCAAAGCAATTTACTCCATGACACTGCTCCCATATGCACACATAACTTCTCCAGCCTATTGTGAGCAAGCGGGACTATGAGCGACAGCAAAGGCAGGGCAGGAGAAGCTTCAATCGGGTTCTAAGCATGGTGTTTTCCAAGTGACAGCGCCTGGGATGTTGAAGCATCTTCGCCGGCGTGGGGCATCGGAAATAATGCCGGAGATGAATCGATGTCGGGTCGAAGACCGATTATAAGACGAGAGTGGGGTTTTGTGATGCTGTCTAGAATGTCCAAGAGATGCTTGGATACTGTTCACATTAAAAGCGGTGATATGGCGGCGGCTAGATGTGAATTGCTCGGCGAGCTTACTCCTTTTGCTAGGTGCGTTCAAGCGCCACCAGGTACCTGGCTGTTAAGCTATATATTATAATATACTAATATACACTTTACTTTCGCCATCAATTACTTGAGTATATATAAAAAGAGTTCAAATGCATTAAATTATAGGGGGATAAGCGCATCTAGCAGAAGAAGTGAGCCCGTCGAGCAATTCACGATTAGACTGTGGTACTACAGAATCCACAAACTCGAGCTCGGCAACTTGCTTAATGCTTTATCAGCTCTATAGCCAGGTTCAGCACAGCAGCTTGAACGTCTCCGGGAAGTTCGTTCCGAGAAACAAAGGGCAGGCTCCATCTCGAAATGCCAAGACGCTTCCCATCACGCAAGTCATGGCAATATCTAGCAGCCTTTACTACAGAATTGACCGACTTTGTTGTGAAGCACGTGTCTCGATTTGGGCGTGTTGTCTATAATGGTTTTAAAAACAGCCCATCCTCGTCCAGTTGAGACAACAAAAAAGTCGTTTCAGCTATCGATTCACCGCCAAACGGTCAGAAAAACGGTGAGCATTTCCATTTCTGCGGCTGAACGTAATCGAGTTTTGACATGACTTGGTAATATTCTAGGTGGCTTTGTGTCGATGTGGTGATTTTGTGAAACTTTTTGTCGCCTAGGTCGTAATGTGTATGTGCGACATGATTGATCTTCTGCAAGAAGCAAGTCCTGCAGATTCATATATTTCATCTGTAAGTGCACACAAGTACCCCGCTTGACGGTAGCAGATGTATTACATTTTTGCCAGCTTCTCGATTTTGTGGCAAGGCGCCATTGCGAACGAGTCAGTTCGGGCATGGCCGGTTCACACGGGACGACAAGATATCTGCCCGGGAACATTCCGAGACAAAATATGACGAGCGGCATAAATGGTGGGAAGATACAGGTGGTGTGCTGACTCGAGGCTATCCATGATTTGCTACCCCGCAGGCACCATTCTTATTACTTGAGCAGAAAGAAATCTTGGACATCAACCGATACAGGCCGACGACCTGCGGATGGCCCAAGATGGAAACAAGAGCAACCCAATGCATGCTGGGGTGGTATGAGCTCATGATGTTTCACATATAGCGTCACATCTAGTCTCTTGTCAACGTAATCTGCTGGGCGAGACCCTGGCTAAAACGAAACTTTCTGCAACATGCTGCTGGTGAATCTGACAAAACTCCATGAATTCCAAGTGACACATCATTTACCCCTCACTCCAGTTGACGTATTACTAAATTTCATGGGCCCCGTGCCAGATTATGCGGGTTCGATATTCACCAGGACGAAGCAACTATTAAAGAGCCAAGGTATGCCATGCTTTGGTTCCGCTCGACAACTCTCCAACACCATTCCAATACTTGACACCATTTCAAGCGTCTAGCCATCCTCACAATCATGGTTTTCTACGCCTATGCCAAGAACGTGAGCACTTGTTCCACATCACATTCGTCCTTGGACAATATTCTAACAAATGTGAATAGAGCAATGACGATTGGTCTTATAGATACGTCATTGTTGCACCAAATTTCAACACCCTCGACGAATGGTACTACGAAGTCAAGGAAAAGGTCGCAGAGAATGTCTTCTGGCGGGTTTCCGACGAATTCTACGTCTTTGACGCAACCAAGCTCAACCTTGGGAGAAGCACCGCCCCAGGGCATGAGGCCCCCAAGTTCATGAACAGGTTGATCTTCCAGCTGCTCAATGATAATGAGGGCAGGAACATTAGTACTTTTATTAACGGGCACCTGTCCGGTGGGACTGCTGAATAAATATGGCCGCTTTGTTGCTTTGATGTCTTTGGGTAGGCAGCAATCATGACGGTTGAGTCAAATGTCGAGAAAGACTGAGAATGTTTATTTGGAGACTTGGTATAATTCGTAGCAAAACACTATGAGTCTATGACATTATGCATCGTCTTTCTTTTGACAGCCTTCTTCTTATGCAACTGAGAGTTGCTCTCTTTGAGTACCAAGTCTGTGTCGCTATTTGACTAGGCTAGGCAAAAGGGAAATGCCACACTTCCACAAGTACCTTTATAATTAAACCTTGTATATCTCTTAGTTGTAGGTACCCTGTATTCTTTTACTTGTTGACAGTATGGGACCTGATTGACAACTTTCAGGCTCTCTCTTTACATAGTGAATCAATTGAGAGGAAGAACCTTTGAGATGGGTCTTACTTGTAGCCGAAGATGTATAATTTCACGATGTTAGAGCCGTGAGCCGCCAGGGTCCATACTTACGATCCCGACGGCGGATACAGATTGGCTTTCCCGTGTTTATAGACGCTTGTTAGCGTGTGGGTGCGTATCATGGGGTTGTCCAGTCAGTAGGGTTCTTCATGATGATGAAGAGAAGCGCCGTCTTGGAATTCAAGGTTATTTCTCCGGATGCCCGCATGCTGGTAAAGGTCGCCGTGCAATGGGGCTTTCATGCTGTTACTACCAGTTGGCATTAACGGCCCAAGTTGCCCCTGATAGGACGCCTCATGCTTTGTGTAACAGTCCAAGCGAGTATAATTGGTCAAGCCGTGTACTATGAGGCTCTAAGAGCGCTCAACCAGATTACATTCCCTAGAGTCGAGTCAGCCAGGAGCACCGCCACAGAGCACATGATGATCCGGCAGCGCCACGTAAGAGAGGGGAGTCGACTGAACCGAACCCTGTCATCAGAGCTCTCGCAGTGCTCTCGCATTTCTTCCAACCTACGGAGTACTATGCCAGCTAACAAGAATATTGATTGTTACCATAGAACGTGTTGCTACACGCCGATACTGTTTCGTCCGTCGACATTGTCAACATCAACAGTTCAGAGTCACCAACACCTTCGTAACGCTTGGTGGTGAGCAGACTTGTCAGCAATATTGG